AGCTTTTTATGTTTTGGATAATTGTCCTTTATTGTATATATCTTTTAAAGAAATATGTTTTTGCTCTAGTTTTTGGTTTGCTTCTCATCTTCCTGATGATGACTTTTGCAGAGCTTCAAAAAATGTAACTTATCAATACATCTTTCATAAATTATGCCTTTGGTCATGTATCTAAGAAGCTATCATCATTCCTAAATTCACCTGAATTTTGTCTAATCTTGTAGGAATATTATAGTTTTCCATTTAACATGTAGGTCTGTCATTCATTTTTTTTTTTTTTTTTTTTGGGTCCGTTTGTGGGGCCTGAACTCTGGGCCTGGGCACTGTCCCTCAGCTCTTCAGCTCAAGGCTAGCACTCTACCACTTGAGCCACAGCGCCACTTCCGGCTTTTTTTCTTTTTGCTTATGTGGTGCTGAGGAATTGAACCCAGGGCCTCATGCACGCAAGGCAAGTGCTCTACCACTGAGCCACCTTCCCAGCCCTGTCATTCATTTTAAGTCAAGGAGAGAGAATTCTTCAGCTCCTCCATCTGGTTCGTGAATGTCTTCCTGAGCTCATGGATGAACGTGACCTTTTTTGGACCTAAAGATTTGTTTCAAGTTCCCTGTCTTCACCATTTGTAATCCCACAGTCTAATTTCCCCATTTCTACCATCCTTAAGGAGGTAAACTAGTAGCTACTAAAATGAGTAAGTGCCTCAGGGTTGGGCATAGAGGAAGATTTACTTTACCATTTTGTTTTCATCCTTTTTCTGCTTCGGAGATTTTTATTATTATAATTATTACTGTTACTTTCAGCTCAGCAACAAAAGATGTTAATTATATTTATCCCAGGACTTCTAGATTTCAGATTCTAGATTTCTAGGATTTATGATAGGAGAAAATTTCAGGCTAGAACCTTGTAAGGATGAAATGAAAGTCAACCTGAGCTCTTCCCAAGGTGGAGACGCAGCTCTTTCTTTCTCTATACATGTATTTTAAAATACCAGCATCCAACTCAAAACCTTGCTTACCTTGCCAGCTACTTCTCTATGATGTCACTCCAGAATTTTTTCTTTCATAATAATAAATTTATGATAACCATTTATATTAAAGCTAATAAAGAGTTTCTAGTAGTTTTCCATATGTGTTTTTGGTAAATCCCATCTTGGATCCAGGCACCAAGTCCCTCTACTTTTTTCTGTATTTGCAACTTCAGTGACAGTGGATATTACAGAGGGGACACTCAAGTGTTTGTTGTAGAAATGTTTTATGAAGAAAATATAAATTAATACACAAGTTGAAATATGATTCTAAAGCATCGGCTATGTCAGCAAGTGTGATGTGTGAAAGCTCACGATTCACAGTTTGTTGTTTACTCCTTGAAGACTCAACTCTTGAAAAGTTAAATGCTTGTTCTTCAGTAGTCTGAGAGGGGCCGATGTTAAGGACATTCTGTATTAGGGTACCACTTTCTCAGAATTAAGAAGAGGTTTGTCCTAAATTACTTAAAAATCTCTATAATTGGGGGATAATTCTTCTCTCTTGAAAAATATGATGGCCTAAATTATCAAATGTACAATATATATTTATTTAGGAATGACTTCCATGATAAATCTGAACATTAATCTTATCAAATAAAAAGGTAAGAAAATAATTTTTATTTCAAGGTATTAATGAAATTTAAAAATTATGAGAATATCCTTCAGGTGGTAGCCTAAAAATGTCTTCAACACCTCCCCATGTCCAATAGAACTGAATGCCTAAGTTACCTGCTTTGTTCTTCTGTGTGAGTGGGTAGAACTATTCTATGGAGAACTGAGTTCTGTGTTTATTTTGACAAATTGAATGCCACCCCTGGCTGATAAAATGTAATCTAACTATAATTAATCTTCTTCCTGGTAAATTCTGGAAATTCTCCTGTCTTAATAAAATTCTCACATTGCTCATGACAGGTTTTAGTCAGGAAAAAGAAATTTTTCTGTAGTAGAGACTACCACATAGCTCAACTTCCAACAACAACATACCTTAAAGATAACCATAAACATGTATTGATTCCTTAACGTGACTGAGTCACTGAGTTAAAAATTCTCTTAAGATACTGTCATTATCTCCACATATAAGTGAAGTAGAGACTGGCTCTATGTTACAGAACTCAGCTTCTGTTAATGCAGTCCCTACTGGGTGACAATTCTTTCTATTGCTCCACAAAGAAAAATATATCCTACATGTAATCTGTAAATTTTGCAAACAGAGCCAGTTCTTTGATTTCTAAGGTGAATACTTCAACACACTTTTTATTTCATTGGGGGGAAAAATGAATGTTTACATCTTTGAGTTGAGATCATGTGTTTTAGAGCATTGCAAGGAGCACAATCTAAGTCAATTGGAGGCTTTATTCCCATAGATTAAAAAACAAAACAAAACTGAGCTCCTCTACATTACACATAGTCCAAGCAAAATATCAGTGACATTTACTTCAAAACCGTGCAATGTAATTTATTCAACTTAATGAAAATCACTATTTGATTTTTGACTACAATGGTGAATCTTGTGCTAATTCACAAATATTTTCTAGCTTGGTGACCATCTTAGACTAAGACAGTATCTGGGTAATTATCTCTGTGTTTAAGCAGACTTCAAGTAAGGCACTGGAGTTCATGATCAGTATTTTCCATTTGCTTGTATTTCAAGCTAAGGCCTTAAGATGCTAAATGTATGTATTATTAGAATGTGTAAGTGTAAGGTCCGCTCCTGGATGGTGAGCAGACTCCACCCTCCTTGCAGCAAAGTCTCCATCTAGTACCTGCGTTACCTAGGCAACTGGGACACCTGGAAGAGGTCACATCTGAATCCGCTGAGGTCACATCTGAATTTGATGTGGCCACACCCTTCTCTGCCCATACCCTAGATAAGGCCTAGCACAGGCCCAGATGCTCTTTTCTAGCTCTCAAGCTTTTCCTTCTCTTCTCTTTCCCAGCTTCCTTCTCTTTTCTAGCTTTCTCGCTGCTCTTTTCTAGCTCTCTCTGCTCTTGTCTAGCTCTTCTCAAGCTCTTTTCTCTCTTACCTCTCTTTCTTTCTCTGCTCTCTCTCTTTCCCAGGCCTTTCCCAGCCGCGTGGAGGGCCAACCTTGCCTGGTCCCAGCAGGTCTACTAAATAAACCTACCCCTTACCTGAATACCACATGCGTGCTGCTGTTCTTACTCGGCTACCTCTTTTTAAAAACCTAACAGTAAGTAATTACACATTCGACATCTTTTGTTTCTTTCCATCTTTGATCACTTTAAAAACACTGTAACTCCCCCGACTCACTGGGCTGGTCTTTGGTGAATATTGTTTATAGCTGAACAATGACTGATATATAAAATCTTGTCTTCTTGATCAGCTGAATCTACCTCATTGGATTTGGCTTTGTGGTTTGTTTGTTCTTTTTTCCTTTAAGTTTGCTTGCTTGCTTCTTTGTGCATTTTTATGTGTTTCGTCTCTGAAGCAGGAAGTTCTCAAGTCTCCCTGGACTATGCCCTGACTATCCCTACAATGATTCCATCAATGGTGGTGATTGGCACCTGTAAAGATGGATTCTCTCTACTTCCTTGCTAGAAGTGGAAATGCATTCAGGACTTAATAGAGACAGTGAAATTGGATGTCGGCCAAGTTCAGTTTGTTAATTCCAGTATTTAAATGTTTAATTTTATTTATTATTAAATTTTAATTTTATTTATTATTTAATCTATTGATTTATTATTAAGTTAAAATACTGAATTAAAAATTTAAAAGTTACAGACTGAAAATAATGAGCAATTGGCACATGTCTCTGAAATTTATCTGTCTAAAGCCAATAGTTTAAATTTTTGTTTACATTTTCCTGTTTTGATCAACATTAACTACATATTACTAACCATACTGTTCAAAAAGAAATGTACTCATAGCTTATGTAACTTAAACCTTATGTAACTGAAACCTCTTTGTATGTCACCTTTACAATAGAAAAAATAAAACAAAAAAACCCTAATAGCGTAAGAATGATATAATGACCTTATATGAATATACCAAGGAGAGGTTGTAAAAGAAATACATAACTACCTTGCCTCAACTTCAAAATGCATCATCACTTACTCACACACTGATGTTCTGGAAAAGAACTACCCAGTTCACAATACCTCAGTGTTGCTTGACACTGCACTGCAATAGTTATACTATATGTGGTAGGAGCTAGAACTCATGGGATACAGTATCTTAGGCAATGTAACTGTAATGTAAAAGTAAATGAGACCATTAATCTGATTAAAATTCTGTATATGCATGTGTAGAACACAGAAGTAAAACCCATTTGAACAATTAGCATACACACACAAAAAGAATAAGAGAAATGTAAAACAGCTTCCTAGAGTAACAGTACTAGTGTGAGGGGAGAGGTTGAACAGAAAGGGAACTGAAGATGAATACAGTCAAAATGGAACAATAAAGTTTGGTGAAATTGGTTTGGGATGCAGAATTAGGCAGGAGAGGGAGGGATGGAGGGAGTCAGATGAAGGTCCATGTATGCATATATAGAATGTCAGCATGAGCCCCCATCTACAACTAATTGATACTAATAAAATGGCAGGGAAGAAACAGCTATGAAAAACTCCAGAGAAATTATGCCCAAGTATTTAATCTCAAATTCCAATAGGAATTTATTTACATTTATTCACATCTAAAAATTTCCAGGTGAATAATCGTTTGTTTTTTGCTTGAAAATCACCATGAATAAATTTCAAAAGTAAGCAAACTATGGGGTATTAATTTTACTGGGGAGAATGCTACTGTATTTTCTCTGCTATATAAACGAGTTCAATTCCTTCTGGAACTTAAAAAGTCATTTACTCTTATGAACTCAGAGGTGTTGTTGATTTGTGGAATCGAATTCGTGCAGCCAATAAAGTCCTTACATCTCAAGTCTGAGATTTAGAATAAATACGAATTCGGATGCCAACTACAGCGGCCTGTCAGCCGTCCAGTTTAAGCGGGGATTCACTTACCTGTAAGCTTGGCAGGGGTTTGTGGCTGTGTCTTCACCTCTGTCCACATCTGGGCCTTTTTCCTCTTCCAGATGCTCTTTGCTTTCCTCCAGCGGGGCACATTTGGATAGGAAAGGGTCGAGCTCCCCGACACAGTCTTCTCTCTGGTCCGTTTCGATCTGAATCAAAGGCACATCCCTGGAGCCCAGCGTCTGCCGGCTGTGGCTGCGAGGGCCGGCATCGTGGCAGGAGGACCTTTCTCTTTGGGGATGAAAACCCTCTCTCTTGGCCAGAGGAGCCATTCTGCTTGGAAACGCCCCTGGGGAAGGTTGGCTTTCGGTCCCAGGGTCTTTCCTGGGGTAATCCACAGAGTCCTGGCCGTGCAGAGCCGGCCTGCTGGGGTGCGCTCTGCTGGGGTCCGGTCTGTTGGCACCCTTCTCCACTTGCAAGAGCGAGCCGCCTGACACAGCTCCCGCGTCGGGGGCGCGGGGAGCGCCCACGATGATCTTGTTCTTCCGCATGAGCGCCTCGATGGAGCTGGCCCACGTCTCGTGAATGAGCATGTTGGTGATCTGGTCGCCGCCCCCTCTGCGGTACAAGCACGAGTCGGACTTGCAGAGCTCGGAGGAGGCCGTGCTGCCGACGGGCTGGACGCTTAGGATGTCTTGTGGGCCGTTCTGAGCGAAGCCATCCAAGGAGTTGGCTTTGATGGGCGCGTTCACTGTCAACCTGCTGCCCGGGGACCTGCTGTCCGGCACGGACGACTGCCGGTAGCAGAGCGGGGATCGGAGGGAAGGGGCCAGCAAACCCGAGCTCCAGTCCTGGCTGCTCCGTCTGGAGGAGGCGGCGTCCCTGCCTTCCCGCTCCAGGTCCCGGAGCATGTAGCGGTAGAACTCCTCGGTGATGCTCTCCGTGCTGGACTGCTTGGAGGGGCAGCTGGGCCGCACGCTCAGGTGGTCGCTTTTCCTGCAGGCCTGGTGCATGGCCGAGCTCAGGATGCTGCTGGCATTCTTGCCCGCGTAGTAATCCAGCAGCAGCTCGAACCCTCGCCCTTCGTTCTCCATCTGGTTCACCATGAACCTGGAAAACTCATCGGTGATGCTCTCGCAGCTGGACTGCTTGGAGACCGAGCTGGCTCTGCTCACCGGCTGGCTTAAGGTATTGGTGAACCCCAGGCTGTGGACGTAGGCCCGGGCCTCGGAGTCTTCTTCTGGAATGCTCTCGCAGCTGGAGGTTTTCAGCCGGTTCCACCGGTCCCCGCCCAGCAGCCGGTTCCTGCAGCCGCCCTGCGCCTGCCACGGTGCGCCATCCACCGGGGAGAACTCGGCCAGGTTCATGATCTTGGCGGCCACTTCGTTGGCAAAGCTATTCACGGCGTCGGGGACGTCCTCCAGGTTGACAGACTCGTCCATGACCCGGTTCATCAGCTTCTCTTTGAGCTCGGGGTGCTCGTCGGTCTTCCGCTTGATCTCACTGAGCCGGGGCGGTTTGTGTTTCCTCACCGCGCTGCCACCGCCCTGGCTGTCCTTCTTCCGCTTCAAGGGTCGGCAGGACGCATTCGGCGTCACCAGGAACTCGGTCCCCCTCTTCCAGGCACAGAACCAGGGTTGCTTCCCGTTGGAGTTGTCCAGGCAGATCGCTGCGATTTCTGTCGCCATGGAGACCACCGTCTCAGCCAATTCGTCCGCAAAGTCTGCAATGCAGTAGAGGTCTGCATGCTGGGCCTGGAGCCCGGGCTGAGCCGCAAACCCCGGGTCGTCTCCTGACATGGACACCTGCACCTGCACCTCGTTGGTTGGAGGTAAGGCGTTTGAGTCGACGCTGCTGCCTTCCGTATCCTGTGAGCTGCCTCTCCTCTTTCTCTCTGTGGGTGCCTGCTCTGCTTCCAAAGAAGAAGCTCTACATTCATTTTCACTGACACTGGGTATCCTACCAAGGTTCTGAGCATCCTCTCCCGCGAGCGTTTTCAGATCCATTTCTTTGGAGGGTGTCTTAGCCGTTGAAGCATCCAGGAGTCTGTGACTACGGGACAGTCCGGAGTGCAGTGTGGGGCTCTGGCATAGCCCGGGCCTTGCTTTACTCTTGTCCTGCTTTGAAGGCAGGTCATCCGCAGGATCGTGGAAGACAGGATTGCTGCTGTGTATACTGCTCAGGGGATGGTCGCTGCCACTGCCTTCGGTGGCTTTTGTCCAGGCTTGACCAGTGACTTGATCAAATGGTTGGCAGCCCAGGGGTTCTGTCTCCCTACATCTGATGCTTTGCTTAGTGAGGACCGTGGGACATTGACCGTGCTGTACAAGATGGCTCATCTTCTGGACCGTGAAGCACATTACATCGTGGAGCAGTTGAGTTGTACTTTCCATCAAGGTATCCAGAGTTTCAGAGGGATGGCTGCTGTCGCTGGAGTGGCTCATTTTATTTTTCTGGTGAGCGTCATCGAAGGAATACTTTAGGATAATATTGGACAGGGTCTGTGCCAGTTCATTTCCAAGGAGGTTTTCTGAGCGCAGAGTCTGAGGCTTAGAAGCAGTTGCTCTGATTTTCCTGTTCACAGATTCCAGGAGGTCTCCCATGCTGCCATAGGCCTCGGGCCTCGCTAACACCAGAGCGGCCTCCCTGAGCAGAACCTTAGCAATGGCTTCCTTTCCCAGCTCCATACTCTTCCCTGTTGCTTCAGAAGCTCCAGCTGTCGGCAAGAAGCCACCAGGGGTCACAGAGCATGCCCCCTCTTCTCTTTCACCCAGGCCACAGACAGCAATGGCACTGGCCACCTGTGTCATGCCACAGAGAGCCGATGGGAAGGAATACTCAGGGATGGAGGGTTCCTGGAGTCCAGGAGATGAGTGAGCTTGCAGTTGCTCACTGCCTTTCAGCAAACAGCTTGATCCCAGGGATTCTTGCTCCATCGTGAGTCTTTCTGTGGCCTGTGGACTGGAGATGGTTCCAATCACAGTGGCTGCACAAGCTAATGCTACTTCTAGAGCACTCTGAGGGTGTCTGCTGGCTTTCTCTCCAGACGGGAGGTCTGAGCTGTCTCCAGAGTCTTCCATCTCTAGCCAGGAGGTGCTACCTGGCTCGGAAGTGGCATCGCCTCCATCTGGACTCTGCACAATGACAATTTTGGGAAGCTCATTCCACGAGCGAGGAGCCATGATGTCTTTTGTGGAACAGCCACTGGAAAGTACAGGCCTTCCTATAGGAACATGGACTGTGGACTCCTGCGGTAGTACAGGCTGAGACTGAGACAGTCTAATAAATGCATCCTGCAGCACAGATTCAGCTAAATTTGTTGCATACTCTCCAGTTGTGGCTTCTCCATCTTGGAGAGAAGGGAGTGATTTTCTTCTATGTTCATGGCCCCTGGGGTCTAAGTTAGTGCTTTTCTCGGTGGCAGAGCCATGAGGAGAAGGTACATCTTTCTTACCCATCATGGAGAAATAAGCATCAGCGGGACTAGACAGTGCTTGAGGTTTTTCTATTTGATCTTTAAATCTTTCTGGATAATAATAGTTTGTGGCTGGCTTCTCATTCCCCATTGCATCACCTTTCCATTGTGATGGGGTGACAGAAGGATCTAGATTCTGCAAGAATGTGTTCTCTGCGACGCTTTCCAGAGATCGTTCTGATTTAATCAACGTCATATCCTGTTTGCTAAAGTATTTGTCTTCCAGATCATAAAGAAATTTTCCCTTGTTGTGCTCCCATTCTGGCTGGGAGGCTTCCCATGGCTTTCTGCTTTCCAAAACATTGGCTGCTACCTTTATGTTTTCATAACCTAATGAAGAAGAAACGAGAGCCACAGTTACTTTTTGAACAGTGGGTTTCTGTGGGTCTAAAATAATAATTACTTTCTAAAGCTGATATAAAATACCAAATACCTTCTTTTCCCCTTTATTTTTTTTATTTTTTTTGGGTCCGGTTGTGGGGCCTGAACTCTGGGCCTGGGCACTGTCCCTCACTCTTCAGCTCAAGGCTAGTGTTCTACCACTTGAGCCACAGCACCACTTCTGGCTTTTTTTCTTTTTGCTTATGTGGTGCTGAGGACCACAGGGCCTCAGGCATGCAAGGCAAGCGCTCTACCACTGAGCCACCTTCCCAGCCCCTCTTTTCCCCTTTAAACAGAGCATTGTGAAGGTTTCCTTAGGAAAAGTGAATCTAACTGAAGCTGTTGAATAACCTGGGTCAGGAAGATTGAGGAAAGTGAGAGTAAAGCCAGGTTCAATCCGATCAGAATACTGTGTTATGCACACAATGAAATGCTCTTTGAACAATTAGCATATATTAAAAATAGCAGGGATCCAAAACAGGTCCTGTTGTGGCAATGTCTTAGTGGAATAGAGAAAGGCAAATGAGAGGTAAAGGATGGTGAACATGGCCAAGATATTTTGTATACACATATGGAAAATAACTCAGTGAAGCTTCTCGAAATTGCTTTGGGAAAGGCAAGGGGAATAAGTAAGAGTCATAGAGAAATGAGTCTGGTCCAGAAATATTCATGTATGGATGGACATGTCAAAATGAAACCCAAATGTACAAGTACTTGATGCCCGTCAAAATACAGGAAGAAGAAGAAAAACTGATCCGAAAGAATTCCATCATGCTATGCCATCCAACTACCATGTGTTTCCATGTGAGACCCAAGTGTAAATGGTGGAGCAGATGTCTGGTAGCTGAAAGGTGGTCACCACTCTGTCAGGAAAAGCAGCACAAGCAATTGTATCTTAAACCTTTCAGATGGAGAGAAAGGGAGAAAGGAGGGGACCTAGAGCAAGCTCAAGAGTGGCAAAGATTTGCTCTGGGGTTTGCAAAGGTCAGGCCCAGGAGCAATGGCAATAATGCTGAGTGTCTTTTTTCTTTGTGGTCATGGGCAAGGAAGAGCTCATTCATTGGGCTCTACTCGAAGTCAGGAGAAAGAGCTGCATCAGTAAGTCCTAAGCACTTTCATGAGCAATTTCCATCTGTCTGCCCAGTCACTTTTAGCTCTAGGTTGATGGTGTCTTAAATTACAGATAAGAAAGCCAGAACAGAAATGATTACATCTACGGTCCCAGATCTCCGAACCTCCAACTGATAGCTTTGAGATTCAAATTGAAGCCAGTCCAGCTTGGCTGCAACTAATATATGGGTTTTGTAGAACTTGTAGTAAGGCTGGTTTTCCTCCATGGGATAGCCCCTATCTCTGGGCTACGGTAGATTTCCTTTGGGAGTTGACCTCTCTCCACCCATCAAGTCAGCATCTTTGCCGGTGTCCTTTCCTTCTTTAAATCTTAGCAAGCAAGGACTGTGATGTATCAGCCAAACTGACCTGGCCTGGAACTGTTTTGAACTTTTACCCGGACATATTTTTAGGAGGGTGACTAATTTGGGGATGCATATTGATTTGACTGGGAAATTCCCTCACCGGTCCTACTCTCTTCCACGTCATTTTCCTCCTCCAAATGCTCCGATGCAGTGAGAAAGTCTTCTTCGATGGAGGATAGGGAGCAGTTTGTGTCCTCCTCCAGCTTCAGGGTGTTTGTCTCCACGTGGAGCTGCCGTTCCTGCACTAATTCCAGACCAATCAAGAATTTGTTGATTTCAAAGATGATGCAGTTGGTACTATTGGCTTTGTTTCCTCTTGCACACTGGACCAAGCAGATATCTGGCAGCCAAGGGCACTAAAAGCAGAGAGAAAAGGAAGCACTTGTTCACCTGTTCAAGACAGAAAAGGCTATTATTGCCTCTGATCTTTCCCTTTGCATGAGCTTCTTCTGTTAAAAGGAGTGGGGTCATTAAAATATTTGAAATACCTTCTGGGCCTCTGTGGATGCACTGACTGAAAATAAAATTCAAGTATTATTAGAAGATGTGATATCTAGGAGAGAGTTTGGCCTTAGAAAAAAGTAGACTGGCTGTATCACATGATTTATAAATGTTATTATATTTTATTTTTTATGTGTAAAAACGGAATGTGAATTGGGTAAAATTCAACGAAGAATTTACTGAAGGCTATTAAAATGGATAAAAAGGTAGAATTCAGACCCATATCTCAATGAAATAAAAGATAATAGGGTTTTTCTGAATAGGGCTAAGGAGAAGATTCTAGGCCATCCATGTTTGTTATGTTTGTAAATGTTATTTTTATCTTCATGACAAGAGTAACTTTCACAATGGAGTGGGTAAGCCTACAGAAGTTAATTTCTAATGCTTCCCCAGGGACTAGGAGATAGCACACCGACTTCCTTAGTGATCATTTCCAAAGAGTTGTCTCCAGGTCTTGGAAAAAAGCATTCTTGGGTTGTAAAACTGCAAACAGGCTTTTTAAAAGAAAGCTTTCAATTTGTAATAGGCAGAGAAAGTATTACCCAGATACCCTTTCTAAATTAAATGCTCTGAGAAAAGGTCAGCTAAGATCTAGAGTCAGGAAGAGGAAAAGGCTAATGTTTGTTAAGGTGAGGTGTGTACAGGCTGCCTTGGTCACATCTCTTTATAAAATTGAGCTCTAGTTTCACACTAGTATTCTTTTTTAAAAAAATTTTGGTGGTAGGAGGGATTAATTTCAGAACCTCACAGTTGCTAGGCAACCACTCTATTTCTTATGTCCTGTCTCAGTTTGTTTTCCCAGCAGAGTCTCTTACTCTTCCCAAGGCCTCTTGCTTTTTGAGTAGCTGGAATTACAGGCATTCGTGTACTACCACACTAGCCATCACACCACTATTGTTTTCTGTAGTAAAGCTTCTGCCAGTATTTTTGATACCTAGTAGGTACTCTGTCAACCTTTAGTCAGGTTTTTATGATCAATCAGGACACATTTGCCTGGGACAGCCCAACAACGCGCATCTATTCCTCTCTGTCCCAATTCTCCCTCTATTGACATCAGAGATAGGACTCTGGCCTATAATTCTCATAGAAGCAGTAAATATATTTGAACCACTGGGGGAAATATTCTACGCTTGAACGTTCACCTTCTAAAAATGATTTGAGAATCCTGTGCTTACCCATGGTGGAACCTAACTGTGTCTAAAATTGGTGAGCTTGGAGTACTTGAGTCTGAATATATGTATGTGACCATACAAGGGGATATGTACCGATTCACATTCATTTTGTTATTTCCTGAAGTACTTTACTTTTTCTTTACGTACATAGCATTTTTCAACCTTTGATTGAACATCCTAAGCAGAATAATTCTAGGAGAGGTCGCTCTCCTGTGAAAAATTCAAGGCACTATTTTCTGCCCCACCTACTGCCCAAGCAATTCACATGGAATAAATTCACCTGGAATACCTGGGGTGACCATGTGACCTGGGTTTAGCTAATCTGAACAATGACTCCCCCAGACCACAGTGATTCATTCAGAAAGGTACGTGAGAACCAATGGGACTTAAGGATAATTTTGAGTGGCTCCTGGAAGAGAGTTTTTTTTTTTTTTTTTGATCTGGTCGTGGGGCCTGAACTCTGGGCCTGGGCACTGTCCCTCAGCTCTTCAGCTCAAGGCTAGTACTCTACCACTTGAGCCACAGCGCCACTTCCGGCTTTTTTCTTTTTGCTTATGTGGTGCTGAGGAATCAAATCCAGGACCTCATGCATGCAAGGCAAGCGCTCTACCACTGAGCCACCTTCCCAGCCCCTGGAAGAGAGTTTTTACAGAACTGGAGGCCAAAGTGACCTAAACCCCTGGGGGAAAAGTATGCCTGACATGGGGTCCTGAGGGAGAAAGCAGGAAAGAGGCTACAGGAGACCTGTAGACTAATCTGGTAACACTGTCCAAATCCTTGTATGTCATCTACCCACTGGGTTTGTTTAGTTGTATGAGACAATATATTCTCTTCATGATTAAGCCAATTTTCTATCATGTTGAATTAAGAATATCACTTAGGTTAATTAGAGCCTGGCAAGTTCAAGTCAAGGTCAGGACAATTATGTCAATCTGAATTTTTGTTGGGATATTGGAAAGATGTTGGAATTTTCCAGTAATACTTGCAGTTACTAAACACAGGAAAAGCAGGGCATGTTAATTAAAATATATGGTGGTGTCATAAAGCAATGAAGTCTACATTCTCTTTTATATTTAGAACAACTTTACCTACATTCTTTTAAAATAACTAGTTTATGACAATTTTATAACAGAAATGAATATCAGTGTGCTCAGTGATAAGAATAGCAATTTTTAGTTGGAATTTATTTTTAACAACATTCCCCTTCGGGAATCAACAAAGTCCTTTCTCTTCCCTGGGGCTGGGTTTTATATGTGTGTGTGTGTGTGTGTGTGTGTGTGTGTGTGTGTGTGTGTGAGAGAGAGAGAGAGAGAGAGAGAGAGAGAGAGAGAGAGAGAGAGAGAGAGAGAGAGAGAGAGAGGGAGGGAGGGAGAGGGAGAGGGAGAGAGAGAGGGAGGGGAGGGGAGGGAGGGAGGGAGGGAGGGAGGGAGGGAGGGAGGGAGAAGGAGGGTAGGAGGGGAATTCTGGGAATGAAAGTTTTATACTTTCTAGTAGTGTTTTGCATAGTACTTGAGCCACAATTCCAGCATTTTCTCCTTCTCTGCCTATTTTTGAGATAGGTTCTCCATTTTTTCCCCTAGGACTAGCTTGGTCTTCCCAATTCTGCTTCCCTATGTAGGCAGAATGACAGGCACACACCACCATATCCAGCTTTTTCTATTAAGCTAGGGTCTTGAGAACTTTTATCCCTAAATGCTGGCCTGGAGTTGAGATCCTTTTTTATCTCTGCTGCCTATAGTTCTGATAAATATTCTTTATTTACTAGCTTATCTAGTTTGGTGTTTTCTAAGGAGTAGATGACAGCAGAAAACCATGCTATGTGATTCTGAAATTATACGGTATGATTAGAATTCTGATACTGTTCTCCTGGGGGAAGACAGTCCTGTATTTCATTCACTGTTAGATTTGTAGAAAATGAAATTAAACATCCAGTGTCCAGTTCATCTGCTTTTGATCAAGAGTTTGAGAAGATAATAAGAATTTCAACTGTTGCAAAGGAAGCGCTGGGAGAAATACAGAGGGTGATTCTAATCAGATACAAAGATACTGTTGATTCTTATGCTCTTATAAGATCTGTATGTTGTTGCATGCCTTTTGAGTTTACATCAAGTTGTACTCAGCAGACTACAGAAAATGTAAATGCTTATCAAGACTTGTATTTCTTACCTGTGAAACTTCAAAATCTGCCTGGAGATTTCCAGATGCTAGCCCACTTAAAAGGACAATCTCATTTTCCTTTGGCTGTTGGACATTCATAGAGCTGATAAGTTTTGGAAGATCTGGAGAAACATTGACCAATTTCTGTAAAGCAAGAGTCTTTCTTAGTTTTGGTGATTTCTACTCATTTCCAAAATAACACCCCCAGAATGATTTATAGAAACAAGTGATTTATTCCTGCAAATCACTACTGATGACACAATTTATTAAGGCTGTGGCATAATTTAAGAAGGCTATTCCTGGAAGAAATTATATAATATTAAAGCATAAGAGTTAAGATTAAACAGAATCTTTAAGCTTTATAAACTCTAGTTCTCAATTTTCCAAAGCAAACTTGTAGTAATTCCTACCCTAACAGCTAAATAAACAATACTTCGGAAATAATTTCCTCTTAAGAATTTTGATGAGAGATTTATGTACTAATAATCTTCTGTTTTGAACAAATTGACAATAAAAAATGGCTACCGTTGATTTTGACTATGCATTTAGCACAGTGCTAGACGATTGTCTGTGTTACATCCTATTAAATTTAATCCAGTGTGTCTGTTGTAAGCCAGTCTCAAAGCACTCACAGAAATTCTTCAAACACAGCGTTCTCAGGATAACTTGCTTTCATCCTCCCTGTTTTCTCTTTGATGGACATTGCACAATGATTCCATCAAATGAAATTGTATGTACGATTTCCTTCTGAAAATCCTTTCTGTACTATGTGGGTAATGGTATTCAGAGCATGGTAAAAACTTATAATGAGTAATCTCTGCAGGCAACTGGGTTTAAGGAGATTTGGCTCAGCATTGCCAAGGAAGAAAACATTATGAGAGTACGTAACTACAAGTACTGAGCATGGAACAATTGAGCACTGAGTAACAGTACTTGGAACTGAGTGATGGGATAATGTGTACTCTATTCTGTGATAATCAAGCCATAAAGTGTATACGGTTATACACAGAACAGTATTGTACCAATGGATAATGTCAAACCCCTCAACTCTGGTATTGAAATGACAATCTTATATCACTGCATTCCCATGGTACAGCAGGAGCTGTGTGAAAGAATTGAGTAGACTCGTTTTTTTAAAATTGAAACTGTTTTATTTGTGTTGTTAAATTTTTTTTATTGTAAAGATACTGTACAGAGGGGTTACACTTACATGAGTAAGGCAGTGAATACATTTCCTATGGAGCATTTTTACCCCTCCTTTATTTTTTCCCTACTATCCCGTCCCTCCCCACCTCCCCAACTCCTCCCTCCCAGCCCCCAAAGTTGTAAAGTTCATTTTCAACATAGTGTCTTGTACTTCTCATCATGACAGTGGGCCAACGTGAGCCAACATGCTGTCAAGAATTTACATCAGGATCCTTATAACCTTGTATGAACTTGGGAAATTTACCTGTTACAAGGTGCAAAAGTTCAAGCCCCAGATGAGTCCTAGACTGGGAAGCTAAGTTAGATAGAAACTTTAATGAAAGCTGAAGGAGGCAAAACTCAGAGCCAGAGGGAAGGATGGCTGGTATCAGTCAGGCTTTAGAAAAACCTTGGGGAAAAAAATCACTTCTGATTGGGTGTTTGAATGTGAAGGGAGAACAAAGCAGGGACCTTAGGGCATTGCAGAGAAAGAGGAATGGCTGGCTTGAACAGCTCTGCCACAGGGAAACGCACGTGGCCCTGGTAATGGGCCGGGAAATGCAAGGGCCCGGGTTTACCTGCTGTAGGTGCTCTGTGTTACACGCATCCTTCTTTACATCCAGGTTCACAAAGCAGACCTGGAAAAGAGAGCAAAAGTAGCCAATTAAGCATTAAAAAAAAAAAAAACAACTTGTCGATCCTTTTAGAAGAAAATACGTCTTGGGGGAAATGTTATAAAAGTCCTACATCTTTCGGTAGCTCACCAGAGAAACCATCAGTTCACCAAAGGGCTTCTATGAACATCTCCAGTCTCCTGCTCATATTTCCCCAGGACCCCAGGAAATAACATTTTTATTTTCATGGCTCAACATAGTAAAAGATGACTGCAGACACAAGAAAGACTTCAGTTTTGCAATGTGTTATTGTAATCCCAGGAAGCAAGAGAAAAGACTTAAATGCTGAAAGCTTGCAAGTTTACAATTACGATGAGCATTTCTCTCCATTTTCCTCTCCTCTTCTCACTTCTTTCCCTCATCTTCAGACAGCTAAAGGTAGAATTGAAGACATGCACATCATTGTGCTCAACACCTCTCTTTGGTCTCTTGTTTCTGCCACATCGACTTTTTTTTTTAAACAGGGGAACAGAAATTGGTCTCATCAATCTAGTAACTGAAGTCCTGGTTATATGTGAATAAAAGTCTCGAGTATTTGTAGGTACTGGAGTTTTCCAATTTGTAGATACTGGAGAGTTTGCAATTGCTATGTGAATATTCTCAAACCACTCTCCTTCCTGAGCTGCTTATGATCTCCATCTCCTCTTGCGGTTTGCATTTGGACCAATTCTACCTTTCGCTGACTGACGATGAGGTTTCTTTGCATTTATTCTGGGCTGTAATGTGAAATTCTGTCTACAGGTGAAGGAAAATTATTATAAGACAAAAGTGAAAACGCAAAGCAACTACTTGTTTATATCTTTCAGGTGGATCTTTCTACATCTTGGTAGCAAATTGATTTAGGATTTGAAGATACTGATGTTCATAAAATTTAGAGGGCCATTTTAATGATTATTTAATTGTTATTAAATAGTTGTACAAAGAGGTTGCAATTCCATAACTCGGGTCATGAGTACAATGCTTCTTGGTCAGTGTTACCTGTTCCAGTATTTGCACCCATTTACCCCCTCCCATCCCTACCCTCAAGTTACTTAGTGTAGTTTTCACATAATGTACGTTGGCTATAATGACTGTGTTTGTTCATCTCCTTGAGAGAAACTCTTTAAGAAAAAGAATGAAAGTTATTATTAGATATGAGTGAATGTTCATTTTATTTTAGGAGAGAAAAAAGAAGCACCCAGAAACTGACATTCTACAAGATTCACAAACACTACAAATATGGAAGCCATCCAGAAAAATCTTAAAAAAGGTATTTTTACCTAATTGATACCCAAATTGACTACCGTAATGCTTTCTCATGTTTATTTGTGATCATCTCTTCAGATGACTTTGGTTTTATAATAACATGTTTTTCAAGGAAGAATAGTAGGATATTTCAGTTTTTATTGCATATCGTTGATTACACTTTTTCAGCTGGTCCAATTTTTGTTGGCAATATCATATATTTTTCAGCTTGATGTCAAATTTAGTGGGAAATCTTTCTTTCATATAAGTGCTCTTAAAGGCACAGTCACTGTGTTATTATTATAGGTGTGGGGGTGGTGTGTATATATATATGTGTGCTATCAACTTAAGAATTTGTATTGAATCCTTTTGGTTGTGATTCTACCTTGTGATGCACGTATAAGCTGCGACTACAATACCAAATAAATTATTCAGAAGACACCTCACGCTGAGTAGGCATGAGTGAGAAGCTAGTCCTGTATTTAAATTTCACACGTTGGATAGCCAGGCGCCAGTGGCTTAGTCCTGTAATTCTACTTACTCAGGATGTTGAGATCTGAGGATTTTAGTTCAAAGCTAGCCTCGGCAGACAAATCTCTCTGATTTGTGTCTCAATATTTATCTCCAATTAACCAGTTTTAAAAGAGATAAACAAAACTGGAAGTGGAGCTGTGACTCAAAGTGGTATAGCTCCAGACTTGTGTGACCAAGCTAAGCAAGAGCAAGAGCCCCTGAGCTCCAGCCCCAGTACCAACACAAAAATATTCCATAAAAGAGAACTTTGAAAAAACATGCATTTGACAGAATTTAATTTTCTCTTAAATGTAGTCTATCTTCTTTCATTCGTCACAAGTTGTTGTTGAAAGAGGACAGTTCCTGTTTAACACTGTATTTTCAGTGCTGAGCTCAGTGGCTGGTACGTGATAGATGTTTAGTGTATTTTTTGTTGGTAAATGAATATGAATGAATGGAGTAGAAGCCTTGAATGGAGTGACAGGCATACAGAAGGGAAATACTTAATAGTTACATAACAATTATGTCCCTTGCTTATGTAATGAATTTCAGTGTCATCAATAAACATTTTTTCTTAATAAGAGTTTAGGGCTATTTAGATAAGTTAGATGAGAGTTAATTAAGCTAATATGAATCCAGCTATTAGCTATCGTTTTAAGTGCTTAGATAAATTCTTCTCTTCATAAACAAAGATTTGCTAATGAAAGAGAAAAGACAAAGTGTTGAGAATCATAATTGGTAATAAAGTGCTTTTGTAAAAGGTGTTAATGTTTTTCATGGATTAGAAGCACCTTTCTCTTCTCATAAAATATAGTTGGGTTTTTGTTTGCACAGGTCCCAGTTTAGATCATTTGCAGACATGCTTGGCCCAAGTTCTACTTTTCTTACCTTCTTAGCAAAGCTACCTTGTAGTAGCTTTTAACCTTTGTACACCAATGATATTCTTTTCTCTTTGTATTTAGACTTCTATCTGTCTTCTGTTTTATTAGAAAAATGATGAAAGTAGTAAGTGATAAAAATGATGTTACTTTATTTATGTGACTTTTACATAAACTTTAAATGTTCATAGGTAACATAGCCTTTCTCTGTCTTGTATTATGGATTATGTGGTCAAGTAATCCCAATTGGTTTTTAAATTTGTAAGTCTCTTTTCATAATGGAACTCCATGGGGACATTTTTCATACTAAAATTTGACTGTGAAATATATTGGCCAGCTTTATAAAATACATTTCTGTAAGAAAGGCTGATGTCACCATCATATTAAGACTAAGTGTAATTTATGTGGATTATTGTTCACAGTAGCTTCTATGAGAAAACTGTATTTATAAGTTAAATACAGCAAAACCAGTATTACCACAGAGCAGATGAAAAACAGGTTCAGCTTCCAAATTGAATGTAAAAACAATACATGATAATTGTTGACAGCAAAGCCATATTTCCACCTCACTCATCAGTTTTAACTTTTCAATGTGTTAAATTCAGTTTACATTTTAGACTATGTAGACTGTCTCATGCCTCTGAGTGTTTTATGCACAGAGGGTCAATCACTGTTCAAGAGGAAAACCACAGCAGGATGGCTACCTTAGGATGGACCCTTTGACTTCTGCTGGGGAATTTTTTCTATCTCTCCTGATGTCAGCTAAAACCTGTGAAGGAAATCATTCTATGAAAAGTGCTCATCAGAACAAGATGCCAACTGCCTTCAAAATCTAGGCATCTGAATGTTGAATACGATCAAATACATACTTATGGTTTATCTTAGGAGACAGCGGGTTCTTTTCACAATATGGCCATCTGGCCATGTAAGATGGATGAGGTCTCTTAATTTGATGGTATCAAAATGCTGACCCACAATGTTTCCAGAGAAAAAATTGTCCCCTTTCTTTTCTCAAGCGAAAGACTTTTGCTAGATTCCAGACAGTGGACCAAAATTATCTGCTAAAGCATTCTACATTTTCTCTGATTAGTGCTTTGGGTGGATGACACTAAAGACGGCAATTTTGACATCAGTTTTGGCATGCTATCATTCTGTCCAACATTCTGCAATAGACTTGATCATTTGGGGGAAATGCTGCACTTGTATCCAGTTATTTCTTTGAAATAATTGCAGCACTCATGCAACATGAAAGCCTTTTTTTACACTTGAGACTCAAGCTTCTTTTTATTGCCAATGTTTAATAATTATTTTGAATATGTTACTTTGGGGGCAGCTATTCAAACAGTTTATGAAAAGACTGAAAGGTATAGACGTTTCTAGAACCTGAGGGATATTTTAACTAATAATACATGAAGCCAATATTATTGCTAGGTTAAAAATGTTTTGTTTTTTAAATGGCTCTCAGTGATTATTTAGAGTCAATGGATATCAGAGAACTAGTACACCAATACATTTCTACAAGTGATCTGCTTTTATAACTATCTGTGGGGTTGTATAAAAGGAAGAGGCAAATGACAATAATTACCATCATATCTCGAGATTTTAATTCTGTAGTTGGTTTTAGGAACTGCCAAAATGTGACTGTTTTCTGTTTTCAGTCACATAGAAGTTGTTGGTTGGAGTCCACTCTATGCCAACACTGGACAGAGTGTTCGATGTCATTTATCAGACCCAATGGTTTTCAGGAAGATTGAATAAGTACTCTGTGGGTACTAATTTTTGAGAAGACAGGTCTCTATGGTCCAAAGGCCCCCAAGAAGAAAATAATCTTGGCATAGAATTGTGTAGGATGTCATCTGCTAAGCGCCTCTCCATGGTGATGATGGACTGAGGACCGCAAGCCACAGGCTCTGTGCTCTGTTCCTGGGCTGTGGTGGGGAAAGGGACCGCAGTTACACCCAATGGCTGCTCCTTCTGTTTCCCTAGAACCTGAGTAGCTTCTCACCATTGTCTAGGTGAGAGTATTAAGGCAAATGGGAACTGTGGAGACCCCTCTGATTTCCTTGAGAGAGGAAAATGGAAGAGGATCTGAAAGGCTTCTGAACGCAACAGAGGTGGATGTAAAGAAAGCAACCATGAAAACATAACATAGTTTGCTCCTGGAATGGTAGAAGCTACTGCAGACAAAACAGTAGCTTAACAGTGGTGTGGGGCTGGTGAGAGGGTATAGAAAATGACTGCTAATAAATAGGGTAATGCATTGAGGATTTCCCCCACCATCCCAAACCTCCTGGACCCTGTCTCCAGTGACTAATCATACTGTGTAAATTTCTCTAGATGTCTAACTTG